GGACGTGGGATTGTCCAAAAGGGCCAAATTGTCTACTGTGTGTCAATGCTACTTGGCAAGTGTCTGTCTGTTCTTTGACGATGTTTTTGTCACATGTTATTGTCCCTCTCTCTCTCTGAACTGTTTTTTAGGTTCACAGCGGAGGAGGTTGGGAATTGGAATTGGGCTCTATGAAGAAGTGTGCCATACATTTCAAACAGAACCCTACCAGGCTGCACGCGTGGTTTTGGTTGCACATAGTAGTGCAGCAGCATCAATGTAATATATGTGCTGACTTGTTGCTGTGTGTACTGTTTTCAGTTAGACTTGCGATAGTCACCTGAACTTAGGTGGATTAGACAAAGGACTTGTTTGATAGAACTCCGGATTGCGAATCCTAATTGCCGCATCCGCGATGCCTCACAGTTGGGACCAAGAACGAGCCTGGTCTTAAATGTTCAACATCGGTGTTGAATTCTCACACAGCTGCCACAAACATACAAGCACAAACACACATCATGTCCTCACTTAAGGACAGTGGAGATCCATGAGGACAATGCTGATGAGCTAACGGCTCCATTACAGTTCTTCATTGAATTGTCGGTCTATACTTCACTTGTCTCAAAGCCTGATGACAGCAAAATTGAATACAAGAAGTTCCAGGGGGCTCAAGTGCCAGGAGTTTCTTGGCTTTTGAAAGAGGTACTTAGTTAGCATCGCCGATCGCTACAAACATAGACCAAGACCCATAAAGACACGAACATAGACCAAGACTATTATACTGTTCTGTACACCTGTATGACTCAGGTGACAGTGTGTGGTCGACATTGGTCACAGATGTGGGATGATGGGCAACACGGTATCTACCGACTCGAGGCAAAAAGCACCACCACAGTCAAGCGCAAGCATGAGCTCATAGACAATGATGCTTTGCAATTAGTGGATGGATTAGTGGATAAGACATATGAACATGCCAAAAGGGCTGTCCTGAGTGATCAGACACGGCGTGTCACCAACACTCCATCTATGAGCGCCCTGTCCAACATCTCCAAGCTTCTCGACAAGGATGATGAGAATGACGTTGATGATGTACACCATTCAGACACCAAGTCTACCGTACGTGGCCATACACCTTCCCAACCTGTTCAAGGTCAAACTCAAAGCGATGAAAGGCCTTACTCTTGGCTTCCTTCAAGCCATCTTCACATGAGAAGGAGAACAAGATCCCAGAGGCCAAGCCAAAAGGCAAAGCAGGTGCCAAACCAAAGTCAGGACCGAAAAAGAGAACCGATGGAACCACAGGTGATGATGAAACTGGGGCCAAAAAAGCACGTCTCATCACATCATTGGAACCAGTTGCAGCGCCAGGCAAGACACATAGAACAGACAATGTGGCTGCTTCCAACCAGATGGCGGAGGCAGACAAGACATGGCTGGACAATGCCAAAGCCAGCTTAAGGGCTGCACTCAGCATCCAGCCTGGCAATGAAGACCTTGAGATGAAGAATTGCCTGGCCGACAGCCTCAAGAGGGCGACATCACTGATGACAAGTGTGCGGGCTCGGAGGAGAAGTCTCAAAAGACGAACAGAGGAGACACGAGAGGGAGCTATGAACGACGCCACAGAGATTGAGGAACAACTACAACTCTTGATTGACTTTGTCAAGCTGATGCAAAAGCCGTGCTCAACTAGTCATGGCAATGTTGGGGACCTTTGCTATGCCAAGATCGACATGCTGGTTGACCACGGCGGCAACTTCAGCCCGTCCGTGTTCAAGATGGTTACTCGCATGATGTGGCTGGATGACTTGAAATGGAAGAGATGGGAAGAGATGCAGGAAGTCACATTCAAATTCATTCAACGAAGTTGCTCAGGAATGGACTGCGTTGCTTTTATGGTTCAGTGTATGAATGTGAACCTGCAGAAACTTCTCAAGGCCATTCCATTAGAGCAGGTTACTCGCCTGCAAAACAAAACTCTGTGTGTGTTGTGTAAATCAACTGAGTATGCTGTGAGCCGATCGAAATTAAATGTTTGATGGGGAACGATTCATTGAGTTGTTGTTTCATCAATGCTTCAGCCAGTTGCTATTATTTTTCCATCTCAGGTTAGTCTGGAGCCCTCCGAGTCTATTGAAGCTTCCTTTGAACCATTGGTGACCTTTGTGGAGAAGATGTCTTTCGTGGAAAAACTGCCCGACAAGCAATCTTCAGAGGATTTTGGTCACATTTTGAGCATTCTGAAGGCATCATCAACAAGCCCGACAAAAACATCCAAAGCCGTGCAGGAGGTAAAGGAATCAGCTTCAGCAGATCGCATGATTCTGGCAACCTTCAATGCTTTGCCCCAGGGCAAGCGGTTCTTGGAGTTGGCAGATGAGTCGTGTCAAAAGAAGCTGAAGGCCAATGAGCACCTATTGAAGTTTGATACTGTGCGGGCAGAATGCGCAGCGTTCTCGGAATCCTTCGATTCAGGTCGCCAGCCACCTGATATGAAGATGTTGGTGGATGAATCATGGCGGTTGGCTAAGGAGTATGCCGCAGCAGCTTCATCCCCAAGTGTTGGGCTTGACTCAACACATGCCTCCACAGTGGCTGCCAAGAAGGATGCATCCAATGCCCTCTCCGAGTTCATAGCGGACCTTGCCAAGTCTCATTTGGCAACAGAAAGTCTCGAGTGGGTAGGACAGCAATGTCGGAGGGCAGAGAAGGAAGAGAATGACACCGTATTTTCCTTGGACAGTGTTCCAGCATGGCACATTTTGCGGTTGCGTGGTGTGGAAGCCAAATATGCTTCCGGTGCAGAAGAACTGATTTGCCTTGTCATCACCTTCCATGATGCAACTGCTGAGCTTGGTAAGTGTTTGAATGCTGCTTTTGCAGAAGCAGCTTCCTTGGATCGGAACAAGGCAACGACGTTGTGCTCCAGCTTTTCTGTTTGGAGGAACAGCCAGTCTTCTTTGGTTCAGAAACTGAGAGACACCAGTCCGACTTTCATTGAAGCGCTTACTTGTCTCAGTACTCATTTGCAACGGAAAGTTGGCACTTGCTTTCAGTCAGCCTGGGTTACCATGATGGAAAAGCCAATCAGTGTCCTTCTTGAGATTGCGCGGAAGGCAGCTGAAGCTGATTCGGGCCTACTAAAAGCGCTTGCTGCCACTTCTCTTGACATTTCCTCTTTGATGGAGATCTGCAATGATGCAGGCTTTATTGTCACCGGAATGGGTGAATCAGACGCAAAGATGAATTTGCAAACCGCCACCAGCTACATGAAGTTTCAGATGGATGCCTTCAATTCTCTCAAGATCATCAAAGAGTCTGAAGAGGTTGACATGTTGCCGTCTATGGGCAAAACAATGAGAAACTTCTTTGACATGTTCAAGGCGGTGTTGGATTTGGCGGAGGAGTCCAAACCCACGCTGACTATGGGCATCAAAACTGAGGCTTGTAGGCTTCTTGCAGTTTGTTGCAGAAACCTTTGTCTTTCGTTGGTGCATTGATAGCTGTGTATATTTTTTTGGCCTGACAGTTAGCCTATAGTATAGTCTGTAGTCTATAGTTTTGTCGTGAGTTGGTGGGCTGAGGTCAGCCGGACATCGCCTCTTCCCAGTGCTGGTCCCTGGCAAGACAGGTGATGGCGTCACTGAAGCGGTCTTCGTGCATTTCTTTGATCTTTGCCAGATTTGGTCCATATGTATGTTTCAACTGTTGGATATTTATTATATAGATAGATCGTATCATAGACATGTGACATAGACCACAGATCAAATAGATAATAAATCATTACTATTGTGATTCTCACAATATAGGCGGCATTTGATGCCTTACCTCAGGAGAGGCTGTTCACCTATTTTGAGAAGAAGTTGCTGACGTTGTCAAAGCTTTGTCGGGACAATCTGTCCAATGCAATGGCCAAGCTGAACAAGCACTTCCCTTTGCCGGAGTACGCGCCCGAGAAAGAGAAGGAGTTTCAAGCAGAACTTTTGGGCAACAACAGCACCTTACACAAGGCCATCACTGCTGCTGCCACAGAAGTTGAGAATGCCATCAAGACTGCGGAACAGGTATGCCAAAACATGGGTATGGAGATTAGCGAATTACTACAAGGAGACCAGACCTTGGCACTATCCCGTGTCGCTGATGGCCGGCAAGCGTTGGCAACTTCAACTATTCTCCGAATCTTGTCTTGCAAGGCTGCTGAAAATTCCTCGGCAGCACTGCTGCCCAGCTTGAAAGCCATGTTCGAGTACATGGAAGGGCGCTCTATCATCCTACCAGAGGGAATCCAGACACGGGCGGATGAGCTTGAGAAGCGACTGGTGGCTGCTTCCAAAAAGAAGTGATTGGAGTGAGAGCATCTCACCATCAAGGTAAATACTCCTTGAGTTAATTCAGGGTTCATGAGATGGCCTTCACAATACTTTCCTTGCAACCCGCGCCTGTGTAGCACCTTCTGGCTTGGGGTGTTCCAGGATGTCTGCATGTATGGCCGGTTGCTCTAATCCCATCGCACACTTCCTCCCGATTCCAAAGCTGTAAGTTCTTTAGACTTGCCTTTTCCATCAATGAACCTGCCTATATATCATTGATTGCTGCCCACTGATCCATTTGTATGTTTTGTTTATTATGTTACTTAATTCAATTCAGAAATCATCTTCAAAGGAATGGGAGTCTTTCTCAAAATCGCAAAGCATGTTTGAATGCAATAGTCGGAAGCCGCCGATCACCGTGAAGTCAAGTAGACATTAGTGGAGAACAAAAGTGGAGAGAATGGAATGAATTGAACTGGTTTGTTTGCTGCTGTTTTTGTCACAGTTGCTGCCTCATTGCTTTTTTTCATGTTTTCTACATGCCCTGGCTTTGTTGCCCCTTTTGACCAGCACACGACTAGGTCACAGAGAGACAAACAAACAGAGGGAGAGACAAAGGAAACTAAGACTACGACCACAAAACTAGGTCAGATTTATTGTATTGATTTCAAGTATCTTCTATTGTCATTCTAGTTTGCATTTGGTTTTGTGATGGCGCCCAAGAAGTGTTCTCCAGCAGGAATCGCAGCAAAAGCAGCAGGAAGAAAACCAAAGCTGTCGGTAGCGAAGGCAGTACCAAAACCTGCAGCGGTCAAGGCTAAAGCCAAGACCAAGGCCAAGGCCAAGGCTTTTGCTCCTGCTCCTCCACCACAAGACGAGCGACTCGAAGCCAATGTCAAGAGACAAAAGACAAGTCATGATGGCAATGACTCTGCAGCGTTACCAAATGATCGTAAGGGTAGTGGGGGTCCGCTGATCAGCGATTTCATGATCATGATCCCAAAGCAAGAGCCTCAAGAGGACTCTTTTGCTGGGGATGTGATTTGCAAAGAAGAAGGCCCTCCAAGTCCCGTGGGCACAGTCACGCTCGATTCCTTTGTCAATGGTTTCCAGTCAGAGGGGGACTGGAAAACCAAATTGCAAGAATCCTGGAAATCACTAGATGATGGCGACCTCGCAAGCCTGATGCAACAGGCAGTGGAATGTCCAATGCTGAAGGAATACAAGATCCTCCAAGACACCAAGCCAAACAACCCAGTCGATGATTTCAAGCTGTTTGTACACTGGCTAGTTCAGAAGAAGGTTTCAAGCCGCATCACAGCATCAGCAGCAGCGTCTATGTCAGATAAACCCGTATCCCCCGAACACAGG